AGATGCCCCAAAGGTGGCAATATTTCCAAATGGTGCAGCAGTGAAGCTGTTTCATTATTTAACAGCTTTGAGGAGCAACTCAGATCAATTATAATTTTTAATTGTTGAAATAGTTTTCCTATTTATTTTTCTTTTCTCATTCGATTTTATCCTTTCTTAAGAGTAAACCCAACCTTGCAAATGAATCTGAAGATGTTTTGTTTTTGTTTTAAATTGTCATGTTTACAATTTGTTTTTAATTTTTTGCTCAGTCTGGTCCTAGGAGTCATCGGGTGCAGGCCCTGTCGCGGAGGCACAGTGGGGGATGTAGTAGAAGGGCATAGCATTCATCAAACTTGGGTTTGATAGGTACAACGACCTTGTAAGGTGGGACTTCTGGTCTTATTGAACTCCCAACCTCTGGCCCTGCAGCCAGAGACCTAAACCACTGAGCTATCATCCATGGACAGGGGGATAGTTAGAATCCACTGGCTTGAAAAGTTGTACCCTTCCTTTCCAGGAGAATAGGTACAACGACCTTGTAAGGTGGGACTTCCGGTCTTATTGAACTCCCAACCTCTGGCCGTGCAGCCAGAGACCTAAACCACTGAGCTATCATCCATGGACAGGGGGATAGTTAGAATCCACTGGCTTGAAAAGTTGTACCCTTACTTGTCAGGAGGAATACCTTGGCAAGAACAGGTTAGCTTGGCCCCCATTGTTATTTTGAAAAGGAGCAGCCGCAGAGAGGTTGCTTCCTCCCTCTGTGCCAGAAATAACATTCTGATCCAACTGCCGCTTGCCTTGGGAATGCAAAAGTGGAAGTGAGCAGGTCTGACTTCATCCACCAGACAGAGATTGTGTATGTAACTGTGGGTTTTAAAAATCTGATCTTATTGCAAGCTGTCTTCAGAATTGTTTGATTGAAAAGCAAGGTATGCTGATTAAGAATGTGTAAATATGATAAATCTCAAGTGGGGCTGTGGCACAGTGAACAAGAGAGAAGGAAAGGAAAGTCAGGGTGAACAAGATCTATCTCTCAGATGGGTGTTGTGGTAATTCCTTTGAGTGTGAGTCAAAGGGAGGGAGAGTGATGGAAGAACTTGGAGCTGAATTCCCGAGTTTTCCTGCTTTAAGGCCATCCCATCAAATGACTTGTCTTTATCACCATCCAAGAGGGTGGTGCTGATGTACTGACATCCTGTCAATCAGGGTCCTCCACAGAACCTTTCATAACTTGTATCTTGATTATGAAACCACATAAGATTTACAAATGTGACTGCCCAGGCTCAGGTATAGATTTGAGCACATCATGTTGGGGAAAAGAAAATACAAGCTATTATTTTCTACATATGAACTCTGTGTCTTCCCTAGTTTGATCATCAGCGTCTATGATTGTGCCAACAACATCCCTGAGAGAAGAGGGGAAGGTTCAGTTCGTGTTTGGTTTGGTTTGGTTTTCATTGATTTCAGTTGAACTGAATCCCGGAATTTTAGCTCGTTGTCATGAAGAGCCTGTTTCAGAGGCTGAGCTATATAGACAACAGTGGCAACTGGTCCATTGGGGCAGATGGGGTGCTGCCCTATCTCAGGCTCAGGTCACCCCAGATAAGCACTCTTGGATGTTTCCTTACTGGGGGTCAAGTTGAACCTAGCCAGTGTTTCTCTCCAGCTACCT